GCTCTGGGTTCTCTTGTAATTTTGATTTGATTTGATGTATTGGAGGTTTCCAACGGAGGAGAGGCAATGGCGTGCTGCTTGGCTAAGTGAAAATGAGGCTTCTGTTAAGGATCTGGTGGCAGAGAGACAGTAGCATTACTGACAGAAGAAGAAGGTTAGTCAATACCTAATACTCCTTTGATTCTTCTTTTTCTTTCTTTTTCTTTTTTTCTTTCCAATTACAGTTTCTTTCTTTGATGCTATTGATTACAGTTTGGGTTAGATCTGATTTTGTATCTATAATATGTGTTACTTCAATTCTGATTGCAATGGGTTTTAGATTTCATTTTTAATTGTGTTATCTATAAGTTTTTGTGTTTGATCTTTAATTATTCATTTGTTTGTTACTTGTTTACCTTTACTATTTGTTGCTGGTTTTTTTTGGTATATACTAAATCACTGATAATGAATAAGATAATAAGATTGTGGAGTGTTCTTAAGAAAATTCTTTAGATTAATGGAGAATATCACCCCGTGCTTCAATTGGTTTAAGGTGTTACACTTAGGTGTCTAAGGCAAATTTTTCTAAAGACCAGTTTATATTTTGCCACTATATGCTTCTTATATGGTTTGTTTACATTTCCTTGTTTCTTTGGGACTTTGCTTAAGCTGATGCATTGGGAAAATCATTTTGGCAAATTTGTTGACACTGCAAAGGTTTTTAGTTACCATCACTGGAAACCTTACCCTTTACTTGATTTTTCCTTGGCAAGCATGGGTAAACCAAGACTAGCTCACCCATCTATAAGTATATGATCTTTAATGTCGCACCTTTTTTTAGCAGGACTGCAACTTGTGACCTACCTCAATTTTCCTCCATATGCAGCTTGTTTCATTTCTAACTTGAGATTTTAGTGCAAATTAGAATTGATAGCATAAAGCTTTGTTGTTCAGATTATGTCAAATGGAGTTTACTTGCCTTTATGATTGTGTTGAGTCCTGTGCTGTAATTTCCTCTTTGGTTAGGCTTGGCTTTGACTTGCAATGTTTGTTAATTGTCATTTTAGGAGGTTCTAGTCATGATTGGGTGGTTAAGTGGTTGTTTATACATGGCAAAACATCTTCTTGCTACTATAGGGATATTTTTCTTGTAAATTGGTTATTCTTTGTGCTAAGAAGGTTATTTTTCTTTTCTTGATTTTCATGTTGGTATGAAAGTATCATACAGCCATGATGCTTATTGGGGGTTAAATAATTTAGATAGAATAAATGTAAATTTTGTATGACCAACTAATAACTTACTTGGTAGCCACCAATTTTAAATCTTGGTTTTAGGGTCAAATTTAGTGGTTTAAACTTATGCAATGCCTAAGTATCTTAACTTCTAAAGTACCAAAAAAATGTGTGATTTTTTTATTTATTCAAGTAATACATATGCATTTGTTTATGTCTATTTGACCTTTTTAGCACCATACTCATCTAGTTTAAGCTGTCTGGGTTCAATAAATAATTGAGCCTTTAGCTTCATTAGTTGGTAGATACAAATTGAATTGCTTATTTGGAATATCTCCAACTAAAGCAATAAAATTGTTTTGTCTATGTAAAAAAAAAAAAGGAAAAAAAAAGAAAAGAAAAGAAAAGAGAAAGTGTTTTGGTCTCTCTCTTCATCACTTTTCAAAAAGTAGTAAAACAGTCTACTCTCTCAAATAAAGGTTGCCTCAAAAGCCAGAATCATGTTTCTCTGGACTGGTACAGTCTGTATAAAATAAAATGTTCTTATCTTCATTGAGTTCTTTGTATTTAAAGTTTTCAAAATGTTATTTCTGAATCTGTTGTCTTTCTACAACTGATCTTGGTTTTTTTTTTTTTTAATTTTGGAATCACATGTAAAAAACATGATGCTGTTTTGGGCAGTACCTTATTTTCCAACATATCATGCTTCTTGCTTTTGTTCATATTCTAAAAATTAAAGGTTATCAACTAGTACATAACTATCTAATAAGTTACATTGGTTTATATAAGTTGATTTCTACATACTGTTTGACTCATATTAACCTAGTGAGTTAAAGATAAGACATGTGCTTTGGAAATTCACATTCTGCAGCTACACTATTTGTTTCCCTTTTGATATCTGTATATTATTAGAGTTCTATGTTTTAATGAGGTAATAAATACTAATAAGATAAGAGGCCTTCAATGTCCATGGTGGTGAAGTTCCTAGAGGGCAAAATGGATGATGTAAACGAATGTGATTTCTCAAATCCACCAGGACCTGTTGAAGTGGAAACTCTTGGACACCAAATGGATGTAGCTACAGTTACTACTTCTCCACTGATTCCATCTATCTTATCTGGTCCAAGGTGATGATATGGGGGAAAAGAAGACATAAAACACGTGCTGCAATGGTAATACTTCATTTCTTTTACTTTCTAGCTTCTGTTTTCTGTTTCAAAGTAGACAGTAGAATGCAAATTACTACTAGAATTCTTAGCTTGTGTTATAATATCCTTGAATTCTTTGACTTATTTCTTATATCTTATTGTCTAATTAACCTATTTTCTTTCATACAGAATTTATTTTGATGGTAATATTTTATATTTCAGAGTTTCTTGCAATGCCAAAATGAATTAGTTTTAACTGAAAATTTGTTTTTCACTTGTTTAATAAAAACATTATCACATTTTTTTATCTTACTCTTTTTCAGTGTTTACTCGATCAACTTCATTTCTTCCTTCCAAATGCTAAATAATTGAGAAAGACTTGACCACCCAATTAACAAATCCAGGAGTAAAGCCTGACGCTAAAAGAGAAACCGATGGATAAGCTAATTTCTTTCCTTGTGTTTGTGGTTTTTTGTTTTTTGTTTTGTTTTGGTCCATTACAAATTTGTCATTTTACTTGAACAAAAAACAGTTGCAGCACTTCTGTTTTAATTTCTGTATGTAATGTAATACTATTAGCTACTTCAACTTCAAACTGGTGTTGCACCTCTATTAATATCCAATCTTGCCAATTTATAATGCTTGTTGTCTTATTGGTTTTTGGAAAGAATTAGTTTTTAGTTGTGATTGGATTATATTATGCAAGGCCATTATGGAATTTAGAAAATGGAACTTTCCATAATTCTTAGCTGTGTGTGGATTGATAACTTTGAATTCATTTTCTGATTTATTAGCTCTATTTAAATAATCTATTTTTCGTACCAAAAAAGAAAAAAAAAGCCTATCTTCGTTTCCTTAATAGGAATCAATACGGGTTCTTCATGTTTTTGTATTTTTACGGTGGTATGTGTTGCAGCTTGAGTTACAAAATTTTAGACCAATAATTCTCTTCTTTTATATTTACAATTAGGGTGTTATGATCTAAATTTTACATGCTATAAAATTTGCATCATCCATTTTGAGAAATCACATTCGTTTACATCATCAGGTCTTGGTGGATTTGAGAAATCACATACTAATGAAGGCAAGATTCCCTGACAAGAATATCACAGATATTATACAAGCTGCCAACCAATTAGCTGCTGCCAATAGATTGGATAGAGAGGTAAACTTTTTTGTTGAACCATTTAATTACTTTGTGGTGCTATTATTATTTTAGTTTTCAATTTTCACTGCTTCTTACGGAGCTCTTTGTATTCTTGCATATATATGGTTTGGTAGATGGCAAATAGATTTTTCATTGGGAGCTTTGCTATGACAAATGTGGCCATCAGCAGAAAAAATCAATGGAAAAAAATTTTTGAGCTTATGTTATGTTTTGTTTTTTTTTTTTTTTAGCTTTTCAATCTTTTCTTAGTTTCTTGTCTCTTCTACTTTGGTTTTTGGTGAGTTTATGTCCTTGTTCTTTTCAATTTCTATGGAAATCTATACTCATTGAATTTTATTTTTCAATAGGCACATGCAACTCGTCAAGAGGTATTTAATACTCACTCATACCTCTTTGTTTGGATTTAACTATTTTCGAAGTTTAATCTCTCAAATCTTTTTTTTTTTTTTTTGAAATTTTAGTTATCCATGAACTTCTTTCTACTAAATTGTAGGTTCCTTTTCACATTCAAGCCATCACCTTTTGTTTCGCCAAAATGAAAGTAATGAAGAAAATGATAGGCAAAGCGATTGAAAGGCATGTTTGTATCTCTTCTTGGATCTATAATTTCTGATGATGAACATTTAATTGAACTTCTTCTGATTCTGCAATTTCTGTTTTTGCCTAGATCTGCTGTCTTGAGATTGATTTATATCTATGGAATTCCTCTTTTATGATTGCTAATTTAGTGCATCAATTAACTGATTTTTTTAAAATTTTTATGGCCTTTTTTATTGTGTTGAATAGTTTGATTTGCATAGACTAGCTTAGCTTGAGTGGTTGTGTGCTTCGAAGGGATTGAGTCGTGCAAATGGTTAGGAAATTTCAAAGTTGTGTTTTTTTCTTTCCTATTTGTGTGCAAATGGTTAGGGATTGATTCGTGCTTTGAAGGGATTGATTTTGTAGTTCAGAAAAATGGTATTAATAATAAGTGCAGGAGAAAATTATAAAATAAAAGTGAATTATTACTTGTAAAGAAAACAAAAAGATCTATACCAATGGAATTATCCATTTGTATAGGTAAAGATCTATACCCACGGTAAAATCTTTTAAAATTTTTCAGGATCTATACTAACGGAATTATCCATTTGTAAAGGTCAAGGTTTATACCGACGGCAAATCTCTTAGAATTTTTCAGGGTTTATACCAATGGACAAGTTTTCCGTCAAAATAGAACCCAGGGTCTATACATACGGATTTGTCATCGGTATAGACCCTATATTGATGAGGTTTGCACTGACGGAAAGTTCTTTCATCGGAATAATCCCTGGGGGTCTATACTGATGGAAAAAGGGTGTATAGAGACGGAAAACTTTTGTCACTATAGGTCCATCTGCTTGTAGCATAGAACCTAATATTCATAGTAAGCATGCTCATAAAGAAAAGTGTTAAATGAGAAAATCTTATATTAAGTATTTAACAAAGAAGTTGTTATCCCAAAAAATCTACTTGACACGTGGCAGATGAAATGGCGTGCCACTTGATTTGCTCAAAACAAGAAAGATTTCTCCGACGACCCTCTCTTCTTTCCAAGCGTGGAACTCAGCTTGTGAGTTGATGGAAAAACATCGTAAATTGCGCTTTAAAGATCAGAGGATTGGCAGAAACGAGGGATGAACTTCCTGCACTAAATGGGTTATACGGCAAAATGCCCTGGATATGATTCCAAGGATTCCTCAAAGCTAATGTAATCAAGAAAAGTTAAGACTGCAAGGAAAATAAATGATCGCTAAACTACTAAAAATCTAAATGAACTTTAAATACGCAAACTAGATTGAAATAGAGCTTTAAAAGGAAATTTAATTGCAACAAAAGTAAATTAAGTTAAAGTAAATAAAACCAGAAACAAGGAAAATTTACTGGCAGCATGAAATATAAATTAACAGAAATGGAATTAAACATGAAATTAAATGTCGACATCATTTGATTTAATTAAAGGAAACTTGGAAAATAAAAAAGGAAAAGAAGCAATCCAATCACAAAGAAATACTACTGAAGGCAATGAAACTCACCATTACAAATCTGACAAAAGGAGAATTGAATTGCTAAACTAATCTAAGCTAAAGCGTAGAGCTAAAACTAAATTAAAAGGCTTGAAACTAAGATGATTCTGAGCATAAAGAGAAATTGTGCTGAGTTTGTTGTGTGAGATGTCGATCCTTTGCTTGATCTTATCATTAGGTATTTATAACACCTTGGCAGCATGGTGGAGATCTGCGGCAGCATCTTGAAAAACCAACGGCAGCGTGATATTTGCAACAAATTGATTAATTTGTTGGTGCTGCAATTATCCTCCTGGAAGCTCGCAACAAGAGAACGATTTTACTACCGTTGTGGAAATAACCACTCAATCTCATCTGAAGAAATTCACACCAACTTTCAATTAACAAAATATCTGCCATCATGGGTGATACGTGGCAACACTCCATTTGTTGTAAAATTAGGTGTAAACATCGCCCTCCAATTTTTGGCCTTACGGGAGTAGGTGTCAAAAATTTAGGACCTTAGTGACAATACTCAACTTCTTTGTGCCCTTGTCCTCTTTTGTAAGCCCCAAATCTTCTCAAGGGCTTCCTTCCTTTTCACCTTTTTCACTTTTATTGTTTACGTTTCTTCTCCGTTTTGGAATCGGAAACGAGTCGACTCCAATTATTGCAGCGCCACCGCAATTCCTCATAACTTAGGACTCGGAAACCTTGCCGACTCCAACTCATTATAAAACATGATCATCATCGTGAATTTGCAGCAGCTTTTCTCTTTTTCTGTTTAATTTTTTTTTCTTTGGTTCTCGACGCAATCCTTGTCAAACCATTCCAGCCATGGCCAACCAATTTCCTACTTGTGAATTGCAGCAAGGAGGAAGCCTCAAATCAAATTAGCCCCTTTGGCATCAATTCGGCAATATTCAAAAACAAATTGCCGAAATTATTAATAAAGAACCTTCTTGCCGCAACAACCAGATCCACATCGCCTTCAACGATTCCATCAATTTGGGTCCAATTTTGAAGGAAACAGCCGCTGCACTCCTACGCCTCCACTACCCTCAGCCGAGCAAGCATCTATTACCCTTTCAAGTCAAACCAGATTGGAGTGAGTGGTCAACACGAATCGTTGCATGGCCAATAGTAACTAAAGGCGAATGGTCGGCATGGGTAAAAAGGTTGGAACCTCACTTTGCAAACGTATGGAAAGCAACTGGAATTTTTGAATTCATTCATATGTCCACAACTCAGGTGCCGGTAAACAAAGGCATTCTGACAACAGCTATGTGTTTTTGGTCGTGCTCCTATAATTGCTTTCACTTCCCTTGTGGTGCTATGTCCATCCCTCTATTTGATATTTGTTCTCTAACCAGTCTTCCCTATATCGAAGAAGAGGTTTCTGCCTTGCTGCCAGCTGTTCCTGTAGAAGAATATGACCCTGGTGACACCAGAACAACTTTCCTGAGTTTCCAAAGGAACTCAATTCTCACCACCAAGAGTAAGAATCCGGACCAAAGAGATCATATTTCCTTTTTATTATGTTTGATTTACAAGTTTATGGTCTGCCTTACTAGGAAGTGTGTTGCCAAAGAGTTCATTCCTCTTGCTGTCAATTTGGCACATGGTAAAAAATTTGCTCTTGCTCAAATTATGCTCGGCTCTATATACCGTGGATGCTATGATGTCACCATCTTTTCATTCGGGAAATTCAGTGGTGCTCTTTGGGTCCTACAATTGTGGCTTTATTCTTATTTCCTAAATGTCGCCCTAGAATTGGAGAAAGTTGATGAGGAAGATTTACTAACTTACAGCATGTGCGTCCAAGATGCAAAGAAGTTGTCGCAAAGTTTTAAGACATATTTTAACTATTTTGCATCCCTCTCAATTGACCAGCCAAATGCAGAATTTGCAATATTTCTTGAAAGGAAGTATGGCCCAAAATGGTATAAAGCAAATAGGAACAGTGAGGAATTCAAAGCTTGCTGGAAAGCTTACATCTCTCCAAGAGATTTATTCATAGGCTGTAGCATTAAGGGGCCACAATCAAGGTGTAACTTAAAGCTATATGCTCCTCTAATCAATTATGTTGGCAAATTGGATATTGCTAGGACATTCCTGCTCCACCTTAGTTTACCGAAAATGTTTGCTTCCTTTTGAGGTTCCTCTTTCCTAACATCAAATCAATACAAAAGCAGGTTCAACTTACCACCACGTTCCTCAACTCAATCGATTTTCAGCCACCTCCACTTAGCCATCCCGACTGCACTAAAGCTTATAAAAACTAGTGGACGTCACGCTTCACATCACGCTTTCGTGCTGTAATGAATTCCTTGGACCAATTTGCTCCCCCATAAAATAACAAAAAGGAAGACAAAAGCAAAGCCAAAAATCCTCCACTCATTAGCAAAGTCAAGAATTCCTCAAATGAGAAACCAAAGACGCAACCTGCTAAGAGGAAAACATCTTCTCCACAGATTTCTGATAAAGAGGATGCACCAAATAAAATTGCAAAAGATAAATTTTTGGCCTTCATTGTTTTGCTTTTTTCCTTGTATGAAACTAATCCAACTTTATGCAACAGCATCTATTCATAGTTCCACTAAGCTGCGATCACAAAGATCGATCCTCCTTGCTCAATGACCAAAGCTATTCGGTCTTCCACTAGGGTTACAAGCAAATTTTTTCAAATTGTAGAATCAAATGAGCAAGCCAACTTCACAAGAGAAATATTGCAACCGATCACCGCCTCACCGCCAAAGCCTATTGCTATTGCACAGGTAGATACACGTACTTTCTTCATGTTTCTTGTTGCCACTTAATTTTTTTTTTTTATAATTCACGTGGCTGCCATATGGATTGCAGGCTGCTTCACTCGTGATTGAGATAGATGATGATGTCCTTGAGAGTGAGGTTTTTGCTCAATTGGATCTCTTGGATGACTTCTTGGAAATAGAAAGGTCTGTGCCTCCTGGCTCAGAAGATAAGATCGTGGAAGAAGAAAAGAACAATTCGGATATCCCTTCTCAAGAATCCATCAATGCTGCCACCCACCTTCTTGAGCTATTGAATGGTAATCCATCTGAACTTTGCCAAGTCATTGATCAAAATGAGGCATTCAATGCTGCTGAGGTCTTGAGCAAGGCTCCCACATTGGATGCATCAGTGCGTATGTTTTGGAGCAATTTCCCTATTGTTTATAAGAACTTTAGCCAGCGGTTTATGAATGAGAAGAAAGTTGTGTTAGAAGCAACCGCGGCTGCAGATCTTGCTCGGCAATGTAAAGATGCAGTAGAGAAGAAAAAGAGTATTTATGAAAAGGTGAAAAATAGCATTAGCACCCAAATGAAGCTGCATCAAGACAACCTAGATGAGATTGCCAAACTAGAAGCCCGCCTTGCCGAGTTGAAAAAGGCAACAACAAAGGAAGAAGACAACCTCAAATCCCTTAAAGCTGAGAGAAGCAAATTACTAGTTGAGCTCAAGGAAGAAGGACGTGAAGCTTTGGCTGCAAAGAGTGAGGCTGCACAACAGGAGGAGAAAGCAAAGGAAGCCAACAACACACTGCAGCAAATGAGAGATGAGTGGGCCGCCTGGATGCAAAACCTTTGTTAGGTTTTTTTTTTTTTAAACATCATTCCTCCTTGTCACGGCCATTAAGCCGCTTGAACATTTGTTTCCAGACTTCTTTTTATTTTTCTTCTTCTAATGATAAACATGAATTTATTCACTTGCTTTA